GGAGGGGGGGGGGGGGCGGGAAGTGACTAGTCAAATAGCCTGTCGACTATCCGATAAGCATTTGCTTATCAGATAGTCGACCAGTCAGTCACATCCCTAAGCCCCGGGCATCCAGAAGAGTTAAACCTAGCCCTGGGGCTGCCTGTAGAATCTCCATCAGCCCTCCTCATCTTCCACTAATTAAACCTGCCTTTCCTCAAGCACCAGCATTCAAGGTTAAATAAAAAACTATTTTTAGTCAAGGGTATTGCTTTTCTGTTTTGTTTAACTACTAATAATATTTTCTACTACTGTATTTTTCATTGGAAATATAAAGTATTTTAGCTACATTATGGGTTAAAAAGCATTTGTGGGCTAGTGTAGGAAACTAACCACCATTTATAACATTGTTTCTATTGGAAAATAAGTTCTGAGTTCCCAACAACTGACTTACAAACAAACTTTTTGAACACAACCCACTCATCAGCTGGGGCCTCCCAATATTTCACAAATTCATCATGACCTGCATAAACTTCTATTTGCAAAGGAGGTGAATACAAATACTACTTCCACTGAATTACTTCACAAGATCAAGTATAGGCTAACTCAAAGACAAGCAGGAAAAAGTAATACAGTATTTGTACCTTCTATGCAAGCTATATACAGTTATCACATTTTCAAGAAAATCCTTTTGAAGGATGTAAGCTGTAATATAAACATACTGAACACCGCATATTTCATTATAAAAACAGAGCCATGCTCTTGTTCATTTTATTAAGCAAGTGATAAGTTCAGTCCTTACCAAATTTTCCTGGTTCCTGGCTGCTATTTTCTGATCATCTTCTCCCCCATTTTTCATGTATTTGACCTCTTCCACTGGTTTGATCCTATACTCATCTGAGGACCAAGAAAAAAGAAAGAAAAAAAGAAAAAGTTTTGTACCAGTAGATTTCAGTAAATGGAAAAGCAGCAAACTGGGAAAAAACCCCTATCATGCTGCTTATTATCAACCAATCCCTTAACGATATAGGCCCTAAAAAACTCAGAATCTGCTCTCGTCCTAACACCCACTATAGAAATAATCTCTAGAAAAGAACACTTCCAAATGTGTCTCAAAAGTCAATCTGATGGGGAGCCACAGGAAAGAACTCTCAGATAACTAGGGTTTCTAGTAAGTTCAGGCATTGACGTTTCCTATCATTCAAGGCTTCAAACTACTACTGCCATCGTGCATCCTCTCTGAGAAGATGGATCTGCTCTTGTGAAAGGCTGCATGCTCCCTATTTGTGGGAAGGCATTGTTTGATAATGTTCTAACCTATGCAGCATGCGGGCCAAAGTAATGTAAATGCTTATTACTATTACAGAAAGAAAAAGTGAAGCAATTCTGAAATATAGAAATAGAGCCCAAGGCTAGGGTTAGAGAACTTGAATTCAGAGCCAACAGCATAGTCAGGTCCACCAGCAGTAGGGGACAAAGAGGGCAACCGCCTGGGGGCCTAATGATTCAAAAGGGCAGTACAGAATGGCTGGTGAATTATTCGGAACTCAAAGCTCACATCTTATCAATGTTCTATTACATGTGTGGGCTAGAATACAATGAGAAATGTGAACTGACTCCTTCAAGGTCCAAGTAAATGGATCTTGCGTAGGAGACAATGCCAGGGTCAGAAGAAGTAATCTTCCTCCTTTTCCCCCAGTTATGAGGCAGTGCCCTGAGTACCCCTACATCCAGGGTACACCAATACTGCAAAAACAGAGAGAAAAACAAAACACAGCAGCAAAGGCTCGCGTTATCGGGTAAAAATAGCAGAGCAGCTCAGGCTCTGAGCCCAACCCCCTTGCTGGTTTCAGAATAGGGATGTAAAATCCTGCTTAATTATTTAACCAGTTAAACATTTATTTTAACTGGTTAACTGATTGAACAGAAGCAGGTGGGCTGCTCGCGAGGTACTGGGTAATCAGTTATCAGTTCACTTCCCTATTTCAGGGACCAAGCTCCTATTAGGGTTGCCAGATGGTTTATCCAAAAATACTGAACATGCCCTCCCCCGCCCCGCTGCCAAAAAAAACCACTGTTGAGAAAAAAAAAGGGGGGGGGGGACCGAAGTTGACGAGAAAAATAAATAAATAAATGTAACCAAAAAAACCCAGCATGGCCCCTTTAAGGCCTCTGGGGCTTTTTTTTTTTTTTTTTTTTTGCCATCATTCATCTTGTTTTCTTCTTCCATGGCAGAAGACAGCTTTCCTGTGAAACCAGGTAAGCGGGGAGAAGGAAAGTCCGGGGGAGGAGGGGAGGGTTGGGCGTTGTTCCTGAGTGTGATAGGGTTGCCAGGTGTCTGGTATTTTCGCCTCCTGGTAGGGGAAAAAGTCAGAAAATACCGGACACTTTAGGTGTCCGGTATTTTCTGATTTATTTTTTTTACCAGATAAGAGGCGAAAAAATATTGGACTGTCCGGGTCAATACCGGATACTTTGGAATCCTAGCTCCAACCAGAATGGGAATATCTACACTGCTATTTTTACCTCCCTTTGCAAGTCCTGTGAGCCTGAATCAGTTGATCCATGCTCTAAAAATTGCTGGAGTGTTTTTGTTTTTTCCAGTGTAGACGTACCCACACTCCTCAATTGTTACTCTGGGTACGTCTAAACTACGTTCTATTTTCGAAAGAGGATATGCAAATTTTGCAGGATCTTCTTATCTCACTTTTGAAAGCAGATCTTTCGAAAGTGAAAGTAGTCCGGATGCTTTTTTCCCCCAGGGAAAATCCCCTTTTTCGAAAAAACTGCATAAACCTCATTTTTTAAGGAAGAACTTTTTTTTTTAAAAAAAGGGGGTTTTCCCCCCCAAAAACAGGCTACTTTCACTTTTGAAAGATCCATTTTCGAAAGTGATTTCAGAAGAAGATTTTTGCATATCCTCTTTCGAAAACAGAACGTAGTCTAGACATAGTATGATACTGTGCCAGGAAATGCATACAGCCAGTGGACCCACAAAAAAATGAAACTAGGCTCCTGCAAAGATCATCTCCCACCCACATCAACAGGGTGGATTACTTTAAAAAAATAGCAATTTAAATCAGCAAGCAGAAAACCTTCATTTAAATAACTGATGTTAATTGTTTTGCATTCAAACTTTTTAGTTATTTTTGTAAACAAAGGTTGATTCTCTTTAGCTGTTGATTTGCAACTAAATATAGCCTTTATACTAAATTTGATGGTCCTTTTGACTAACTAGGACACACTATATCTATATAGATTCATTTAAGTAATTATATAGTTTAATTTACATATGTTCAGATTTTTACTTTTTACTTTTTTATAATGTTAGAAAATGTTGAATGATGCACTTCCTAGACAATTAATGTTTTTAGTTGTAATTTGTGTCAAGATCTATATGTATGGAAATCCAGTTAAAAATGCACAAAACCTGAAAATTAATTTTTATTAAATAAAACTCCCTTAAATATACAAGACAAAAATGGTTTTTCAAAGTATGTTGTATGTTTCAAACTAATTCATTTGTTAAAAAAGAAAGTATTATTTTTAGCCAGTGATCTGAACTGATTGTTTCTCATTCTCATATCTCTCAAGATTTTAGAACCAGTACTCTCATATCTAGATTTTATTCACAGATTGATAGAAGAAAACAGCTTTCCTGCTTTTCAACTCCCAGTTTCTTAACTCTGAATGAACCAGTCATTGAACTGAAATGGGTGAATAAATTGAAATGCACAAAATATTGTCTCTGCACCTGCAAAAGCTGCTATTGCTGTCAAAAGCTTGTTCAGCACTTCTACAAACGTTGATTCCAGATGCTTAGCCAGTGACTTCACTACTTCATTTGTTTGGTATTTTTTAAAACTTTGCAGCAAACACATAGTGCTTATATTTTTGTATTTACATGATTTTCATAGATTATAAAACAGTATAGTACAGGCAGTCCCCGAATTACGCGGATCCGACTTATGTCGGACCCGCAGTTACGAACGGGGCTGCCCCAGAGTACACGGACTGAGGGACCTCGCAGTCCTGCCGCCCGTGTACTCTGGGGCTTTCTCTGCGTCTCCCTGGTCTGCAGACCAGGAAGACGCAGAGCAAAGCTGTGGAGGGGCTCGGGCAGCCCAGGGGTGCCTGGGCTGCCCTCCTGCCCGAGCCCCCACCCCGCCCCACT